GCGCCCAACCCGGAGCTGTTCAAGCGGGTACGGCTTCTTAGAGCTGCTCAAAATACTTTCAGTGGCAACAAGGACTTCCTCGGATTTGGAATGTCTGGGTGACGGAACGAGATGTGTATATGACGGCTGTGCTCCAGGAAATGCTGCCTGGAATTGCGAAAAGCAAAAGGTGATTCCTGCCCTCTACAATTAATCGGCTTTTCAACCCTGGTTATGTTCTATTCTTTCAGAGATGAGCATCGCCTGTATTCTGAACTGACGGAGGGCCCCATCATCGTCGCCATCACAGGCGCCGCACATCTCGAGGGGATTACAAAAAGGTAAACATTGGTTGATGCAACAATTATTCGTTTAATCCGTTTATTCGATACGGTGGGGCCATTTACGGCAATTGATCAGGGGCGTTGGCGGCATTCTTCGGGATTCGGGTCGGGTCGAGGGTGGAGCGAACGGAGAATGCGGGCTAGATGCTGGCGGTGACGGCGTTCGCTGGCTCCTAAATTAGGAAAATTAATATTCGAGCATTTGGGACGAGTATACCACAGTCTCAGCGGAAGAGCCCTCGACGCCGCGCGCAGTCTTCACATCAGCTTCCGGCAGCTGGCTGACGACCGCCTTCAAATCGGCCTCGGTGGCGACGATGGCGTCGGGCAGCGTGTCCGAACTGAGCGTGCGCTTCCTCGACTTGGGCGTCGCACCGTCATCTCCTATAAATATTAGTTATAGGGATGCTCTCGAGGCCTAACCAGGCGTGGCGGTGTTCAGGGGGGTCGTGGGCTGCGGGGCGGCCGTATTGGTCTCGGAATGAGCGGCAGCGGCCGTGTTCACCGTCGACTCGGCGGGCCCTGGCAGCGCGGTGTTTGTCACGGAGAGGTTCGACTCGGCGCCGCGGGCAGTGTTGACGGCGGACGTGGTGCCATCAGCAGGCACGGCAGTCGTAGTGGTAGAGCCGGGACGAGCCGTGTTCACGATGTCCGTCGTCGTGTCGGCTGGGTTGGCGGTGCTGGTGTCGGAGATGGCCGTGGTCGCGGTGGGCTCGGCCTCCGGGACGAGGGCCGTCAGAGCGCTGATCGACTTCTGCGCTCCCGTCTGCACCGGGGTCGTCACTTCCCCACCCACGGCCGTTGTAGTCGAGTGCTAAACGAGTCAGTCGGGTCTGTCTGTTTTTTTTTCGATTTTTCCGATTAAAGTAGACGGTCCTTACCGAAGAGCGCGTCGTCGTGATTTCGGCACACGTGTTGACGTTCGACTCCGGGGTGTCTCCATGGGTCGACGACTTGCTGACGGTCGGCTCGAGGCGCACGCTCTCCGTCCCATTGGCCGCCTTCGGGAGGTTAACATACGAGGACTGGATAGCAGTCTTCTCAGTTTTCTCCTGAAATTGAATATAATCAAAAGAAGCGAATTATCTGAGTCACCTGATCGGTGGCGGTGCGCCCGGTGGCAGGGGCCGGCTCGTTCGATCCGGTGGTTGTGTTTGTGTCTTCGGTGGTGCCAATGTTCTTCTCCTTCTTCGTGCCGAGCACATCAGCCGCGTCCTTCGAGTTGATCACTTGCGCGGCACGGTTATCGGGAGTGGCGGCCGTCGTGTCTTGCGCAGTCTTGGTCTGTTGCTGCTCCGTTGCAGCCTTGGTTTCAGTCTTCTTTGAGTTCTCATCAGCTGGGGCACCGTCAGCGGGTTTGCGGGTGAACCACCACCAGGCAGCAACGGCCACGCCACCAACCACAGCCAACTGCATTCTGGAAGAAGACAGCCTTGGAGAGGAGGAAAAGGCCGGACGAACCTGCCAATTGTCGGAGTAGAAATAAATGCTAACCAAGAAGGCAATTTTCTTTTTTAACCTGGAACATAGGCTAATCACTGTGAATTTCCCGGGTCATTGATCCCGTCATTCAAATTTAATTTGAAAGGCGCTGAGACAATTCGTTGTTTACAAAAAAACATGACGATTTAGATGGGACTCCCGGCAAACGATCAGCTCCGACATGAATACGATCCCGCCCCCCTCGATACAAGCACAGATTTTGCGTATGCTTACATGTTTTCCATATATTGTTTTTAGGAGTACTTTGGTGGACGGGAAAGAATGGCGCGCTGCTCAGCTTCTTTGCTGCTTCTTGTTACCTGGTCGCCAAAGGATTCGATTCTTGAACTGCAATCTATTTCGATAAATATTTGTACTCTTTTCCGCGAAGAAATTTTCGAAAGGGTCGTTTCCCATAGATATACTCTCTCCAAGACTTGCCTTGTTGTATACACTGGAATTTTAGATGGGTAAGAAAGAAACGTGGGTCATCTCAGCTTCTGCTTTATTCCAGGTAATACCTTGGTTTCGTCGAGACTTTATTTTCAGAACTTCAAAAACTTTGCCTCGTGGTATGAAGTGGAGAGGAGTCGATTCCTGGGCATCCTATTCGGCTCGAACCACCGCGTAAGCCGTCCGCTGCCAGCTAACACAATTCAGATTGACCTGTGCCTCTTCCTAGCCGATGTCCATCTGAAACAGAACCAGCTCGATTTTATCCTTAATTCCTTGCCGTCCGGTGAGCTTCATTCCATTAGAAATTAGTGTCATCAGATCTGCAAATTGTCGGCAAGCTCACCGTCACCGACCATGAGCCCGACACGGATCTCACTTTTTTGGGGCAATTGCCGCTGGAGGTTCGTGTTTTTGGCGTTTCCGAACCCAATTGTGTTTAGATGCGGGTCAGCATTGAATGTCTGCAACACGGCCTTCCAGAACAACTTTTGAAAGCATACCCGAACGTCATTGACCAATGGACCCAGCCTTCAGGAGCTACGATCGTAGCCAATGTAAGGAGTAGATAATTGCAATACGTTTTTTTAGGTTGGCTTTGAGGCTATCTTGCGCCGGGGTACCGAGGACCATGATTTGAAAATGGCCGTCGACAAGTTCGCCGCGGCCACCGCAGAATTGATTTTTCATAACAAGTAAACGAGCTTTTTTTGTTTCAATTGGTTTCAGGGAGAGCGATATCGTGCTGCAGGCAAATACCAAGGTACCCAAAGTGCTCGATTCGTTGATCAAGGGGTTGCATACCGATATGGTTTGTTTTTTTTTGGAATTGCCGTAGCATCGACCTTGTAGGATCGGGTCCGATTCATTTCGTATCGCCGTGTGTCTGCGCAAGATGAAGGCAATGGAGATGATCAAAAGCATGTGCCGGTGGCGAAATTGCAGATCGGTATTATTTTTAGCATCTATTTTTACGTGTTATGTGATTAGGCGACGTTCTGTTCGATCGGCTGAAGGTCCCGCTTTGGATCACTTCAGCGGTCTACGAAGGGGATGCATCCAACGAGGTTGTAAATTTTTATCCCTTTTCAAGCCCTGACTTCAGATTTACCTGCGCATCGAGGAAGCCATGCGACGTCGTGTGCGTAACATATTGTACATGATGATGAAGGGTTACCGAAAAACGGTATAATTGGCCAATTAAAAAGATTCGGCTTTTAGTACGCGATGAAAGAGGTGGACTGTCGTTGCTTCTTGCCTCCCAACCATATGAGGGTCCTTTCCCTTGTCATGCCACGTCTCGCCGACAACGAGCAGCGTAAGGTTTATGATATTTTGCTGACAAGGAGCATTTTTTAGGCGATCTTGGAATTTTGCGATGTGAAATAGCTCATTCGATAGACCTTGAAGTCTGAACATTTTTCAAAAATTGCAAAATTTCAAAATTCGCTTTGGAAGGGCCAATTTTTACCTTTTAGACCCCCACTTAACAAAATGCGAACGTTGAGAAACTGAATATCTCAGACGGTTATCATTCAGCAATTTTTGAAAGATGGGACTTGTTCAGAACTTCAAGCTCTCTCGAATGAGTTATGTCACATTGCAAAATTCCAAGATACCTAAAAACCATTCCTTGAGCTTTTATTTCAGAGGAATGGCGTGTGGAGCTGCATAAGATGTTCAATCTTTCCTCAAGTCTGCCATGTCTGCGGTCCATGCAGTCGCTCAATTTCACTGCCAACTCTGGTTTCCTCCGAAATCCCCATCTAGCTATCAAGAATTGTGAGTTTCCGTCCAGACTTGTTGTTATGTGAATTTCAGACAAGCCCGCCGGGCGGATCTCTGCCGTCAAGGGTTCCTACGATTACTACCATTACAAGCAGCAGGGGATTGACGATAATGGATGGGGTTGTGCATACAGGTGTCTAGTGGATGTTGTTACTCTTCCCCCAATTGCGCAACTTGCCATCAGCTTCTCTTTTCAGAAGCCTGCAAACTATTTGGAGTTGGTATGTCCTGAATGGATTCTTTGACCGCCCAATTCCCCTCCATAAGGAGATTCAGGAGGTATATCCGAAATCATTTCTCTGACCCAGCATTTAGGCCCTCCTTCGCATTGAAGGGGAGACTATTCGCGGGCGAAAATTTGTTGGAAGCAAGCAGTGGATCGGATCCTTTGAGATTGGATATGTTTTGTCAGATGCGGTCGGAATCGATTGCTCTTATATCGGTGAGGGTCCCCTTTTTCGCTGCTAAAATTGATTATGTTCATTTTTGTTCCCCTATTCAATTACGAAGTTCAGCCCAATTCAACGATATTTCGGAGAAGGCGCGTGAGCTGCAGGTCCATTTCGACACCGTCGGATCGCCAGTGATGATCGGTAAGCTTCAGCTCCTTTTGCTGCACGACCAAATTGTAGGTGGTAACATGTTGGCCCACACGATTCTTGGCGTCGACTTTGACGACACCACTGGAGAATGCCGCTTCCTCGTGCTAGATCCTCACTATGTAGGCGTCGACGATGTGCATGTTGTGACGAACAAAGGTAAGCCGAGTGGGGAGGGAGTTCGCCAATTTTCAGTCTTACTATTAGTCTTTTTTGCACAATTTCTTTACCTTTTTAACTGCTTTCAGGCTGGTGCGCGTGGAAGTTCCCGTCGTTCTGGAAGAACGGGGTCGACGCCGGTGGCCAGCCAATCAACTACAACATTGTCAAGCCGCAGCTGCCGGCTAATATCATCTAAAGATAAATACACCCCGTCTCGGACAATTCCTACTTTCCATCCCCCTTCTCCGTTCTCTCTGTTCCTGTGATATCCGATCTTTTCGGTTTCATTTTGTGGATTTTCAGTGAACTTTTCGCATTTTAGTCACGTTGCTAGCATAAATTTTCTTATTCAGTTTGGATGAGTGCTTACTTTGTTGACAATCTGCGTTTTAGAGCTTTGCATTGGAGAAGCAGACCACCGCCCGTTTTCAGGTTAGAACGTGGGCGCATCACAACGATCTGTGGAGCCTGGGCATCAGTCGGTGGCTTATCGGGGTGGGAAGCGGCGGAACCGTTTCGTGCCATTGATTCGGATGCCGAGACTGATGGCATCAATGTCTGCCGAGTTCGATTTCTTCTCGTTTGAATTGCTAATGGATTTATCTTTCACGGCCAATTCTAACATTTAAGGTGACCTTGTCTGTCATCTTAACTGTTTAACAAACCGTTAAAACTAGAGCTCTATCGAGGTTTATCGTCATTTCCTGATAGGTACAGGCAGGATCGCATTGATATCCTTTTGCACGTCTTTTTATGACCACGCATCCATGGCAGATGCCCATGTCCTTGAGATGCTATGCTTACCAGTTTCACCTTCTTAAACTTTGTAGGCGTATAAACTCGTTCAGAAAGCGGCAATTCAGGGGTAACGTAGAAAAATGTAGCGATCCATCTCCGTGAAATCCCTTCTTCTGCTTGAGGGCCAGTGTTCAGTTCCGTGTCCTATCTTTCACAACAACCTTTATCTCTGACTCAACCGCCATCTACGTAATCGAGCCGCTGACAATTGGCCTTTTGAGCGTGCCGATTTAGTGATTTAGAGTGCACCCTTTATATGGGCTCTCCGGTCCAGTCCATTTTATCAAATTCAAATAACCCGAACCCTTTCGCGATCTAAGTGGCTCTTCTCCCCGTCCTCCTCCTCGTCCTCCACCCCTCGACCGCCATGCCAGGTCCCATGAAAACGGGAGTGGACTGTTGGTGAGAGACAGAATGGCCGGCCGAGCCGAGCACCACCCACCCAGGCGCCACAATATCTCACCCATTTTGGGTGTCTTTTCCGCGCATTTTCCACAGCCTGCCGTGTCTGCTCTGTGTGTGCATTTACGTGTTTGTCAATTCTTCCCCTCGTAGGCCACACTTCGGCTATTGACAAACTGTCACGAGTTATTTTATTGTTGCTATCCTCGTAGCCGTTTTGATTCCGGCTGTTCCGTTCGGAGACGTTCATTAAGCCGTTAAAGATTTCAAGCCTAGCACCTTTCGACGCTCTTCAGCTTTTTTGATGTCGTCGTGCTCGGCCTCGATCCCACTTGTTCCCCACCACGGCAAAACCGCGAACTGGGGTGGCCCTATTGCAGCCAAAATTCGATTGCCGTGGATGGCCCCCAGGGACGCGGCTTCAACTTCCGCTCAAAAACGCGCTTTGCGACGTGGCTCTGATAGCTTTTGGGCTTGTTTTGCTGCTGGCTTGCTTTTTTCTGCATAAATGGTGCCAATTCGACAATTTAGCCACTAGAACTGAACTGAACTCTGCAGCTATTGTTGCGGCTGCCTAGATTGTCAACCAAATCATTACTGGTCGCTCCGAACTATTTTTGGTGTTTGATATTAACACAACCGGAAAGCCGACATCACTCTCTCTCTCTCTCTCTCTCTCTCTCTCTCTGTTTTTGTCATCAACCCGCAGCAAGAGCTTTGCATCCTATCACCTATCCCCCTGTTTTCCACATTTCGACCTCTGCCCCATCGGTCAATCAATAAGGTCATTCCGGTTTTCAGACGAATTTTCTTCACGCTACTTCGGACGATACTTTCCTGTTGACGGCCGATGCGACCGGGCAACGTGGGTGGGTCGGAATCAGCCGGCAGTGTCATGTTTTGATCTCTCATTTTGTCACATTCCCCCACCACTCTTGTTATGCAACTGCTGGGGGTAGAAACTAGAGAGGGCCGCCATGTTGGTTGCCTTGAATCCATCATCCCGTCCTTCCGCTCGATCTCTCTCTCTCTCTCTCTCTCTCTCTCTCTCTCTCTCTGGCGCACCCCTTGGAAATGCCGAAATGTACTCGGCCATTTTTCCGTGTGACGAAAAGATAACGGGCCTTGCCAAGATTGGGGTGCTAGACTGGAAATGGAAATTTGCGTGGTGCTTTCGCATTATCGGATCGAGTTTGGGTTTTTGTAATTTTTAGATAGTTTTTCGAGTGGTATTGGGGTCAAAGTTTACAATAACACCTAGTTTAATGGGGGCAAGAATAATAGTCAAAACTCACCCCTTCGATAATGCCAAAGTACCAAATTGAAGTTTTCGCTATAGCGGTAATGTTTACAGAGTCGTCTGAAGGTTCATCAGAAGAGCCTCCGACTGGTGATGGAGATGTGTGTCGCGTTTGTGGCCAAACGGGTGCCCAGATGCACTACGGAGCCGTTGCATGTGTTGGCTGCAAAGGGTATCTAAACCTTGGCGATGTCTTACGTTCGATTCAGATTTTTCCGGCGAGCCCTGAAGAAAATTGATCAACTGGAATGCCTGGGCAATGGGAATTGCCAGATAACTAAAGGTGGGCCTCGAGAAGCAAATAACTAACCTGGAATATCCCCATCAGATGCTCGCACAAATTGTCGAAGTTGCCGCCTACGCGCATGTCTGGCTGCCGGAATGAAGCCGGCTTCTGTCCGCCCCGATCGTGACTTCACCGGGAAACAGCGAAAAACGAAGAAGCCCCCTGCACGGGCAGAACCGGCGGTATGTTGTGGTACTCGAGAGATGAATGCCTGTTTAGACCACTGAACGCATACAGAATGGAGGCGACGAGTGGAATAGACGGCTTTCCGTCGAGATGCGGACCATGTTGATGACGCTGCTCAATCTTGAACTAAAGGCAGGGCGGGTTTTTTTAAAGAATCAAAATTTTTAGGTCTCACGTGGAGATACAAATCAAGAACTTGCCAATTTGTATCCCTTGAAAGCAAGGACGCTACGCGAATTGCTCGATGATCCCTCAATTTTGAATGGAAAACGATCAGAGGTTATTATTTTTGGTACTTCTTGCGTATACAAAATGACAGAAGGTTAGAAGAATTGGTATAAAGGTTAAAAAGTGGTACATCAATTAATTAAAAAAATAAACTCATAAGGGTGTCCAAAAAAGTTGGTCGTGTTAATCAATCGGTCCCAAATTGGACCAGAGGTGTATCAACCCTAAATAACAAATCCTGACTTAAGCCGAGCTAAAGTCGTTCTCGAGTTATGAAAAAAAATTTTTCCATTTTCACAGGGTTTGTGGTTGACCCTAGACATTAGTCAAAATGTCGGTGGCCTTCTTTATTGAAATTTTTCCAGAGTAAAATAATATAGCTTTGTTTAGGTTTTACAACTTACCCAGTTCTTAGCGAATTGGTTCGTAGCCGGGTGTGAATCGATGTAGTCAAAGTGCGAAAATGTTCGTTCTCTGAAAGTATTTTGTTATAACTCGGACGACTGTTGGGGCTTTCAGGTTGTTGTTATTTGGGTTGTCTCTGGTTGGGGGTTGGTTGGGTTGGTTGTTTTGGGATGCGATACGAAAGGGATCGTCTTTGTCGTAATGGCGAATTGTCGCCAATAGCTTTCCGCCGATTGATTGCGGCCATCGACTGGGTCGAATATCTTTCCGAAATGCTACCAGAACGCCCTTCGGTCGAGGATCGGGTATCATTAGCCAATTCCTATCCCATAGTTTCTATTTAGATAGCCCTTGTCAAAGGTTGCTTCCTTCCGCTATTGGTCTTCAAGGTATAGCGGGTTTCTTTTTGAAGTCTAATCAGGAAATTTAGGTGGCTGCTCGTACAGCACTGAACACACGTGAATCTGACGAGGTGCTATGCATGTGCAATTTCTCCTACATTCCGCGGGACGTCGGCAAGCTGTACAACGATTGCTAGTAGGTTAATGGTGGAATGAAGGTTTTATATAGGCCTTTAAAATGATATCTATTTGACATTAGTATCACAAAAATTGCAGCCACTGGAACAATGGGCTTGTGGATCGTGTGCTGGACGATCTCGTGCATCCATATCGAGTATGGGGTCTCCGTGAAGAGGAGGTCGTCTGTCTGTCTGCTATTCTCGCGATAAACCCTCGTAAGAAGATATTGAATGGCCCGGCAGGAAATTATTTCAGTTTATAAAGATCTATCCGAGAAAACGTCCGATATGGTAATGGAGTTACGGAACAAGATCCAGGTAAGCTGTTTGTTGAATAGCGACGTCAGGTTGTTAGGAATGTCTTTATGTTGTGATGCGGGAGACAAGACCTGGGCTTTCTGCTGTTCATTTTGGCAATCTACTCCTCACTCTTCCCACAGTTTCTGTATGTCTTTTTCTCCATTTTAAGCTTACAAGGCCTTTGCAACTTTTCCGATTCCAGACAATCGCCAATGAAATGTGCGAAAATCTGGTATTTGCACAGACGTTTTCCTCCGAGCCCTCGATCCCCTTGATGGGAAATCTATTCGGGTATTCACGCCGTTTTACGCGTCACTTTTTGGTTCAGATGTTTTCCGGTCGAGCCGTTCGAAGAAGAGGCGGCCACCGACCGTGTTCGTGCCCTGTCATTGTCCCATAAGGTCCACCGCGCGGTCCAAACAGATCATCCACTAGCCGTTCGGGTACGTTACTACTCCTCGCTTATTTTGTGCTATAGAAGCGGCGATTGCCCGAGACGACCGACTCGCCGGTGGAAGCTGAGCCGCGGAAAATGCCGTTTTCGTTGCGTGAGGCCCCAACCGACTACACGTTGGCCGAGATGTTTGACGATTTGGACGAGGTGACTTAGCGAATTGACTCTACTGAAATATTCATTTTTAGGAAGTAGCGCCAAGCGGTTCCGGATTTAAAGAAGGCCGCCCTCGAGCTTCTTCTCAACCTGTATCTGATCCATGCCCCAGTTCAGCCCCTCCATGGCCACTTCAGCCTGTCGCCTCTACCTCTCGG